GACTACTCAACTTCTGTTTATAACTGCAACAAATCTTATAGTCTCTCTTGCCTCCTTAAAAAATAAACCAAACATGTTAAACTGTGATAACAACAACAGGGTAAATAATATTTGGATAGCCTGCTAGAATTTATAAGAGTTTCACAAACTGAACATGAGCTCCTTTAGTCCTCAAGACTCATTTGACAGATGAGAGAATGGGGCTCAAAGTGGCAGAGCTGGGATTCTGCGTCCAAACCCAGGTCTCCTAATGCCCACAGTCCAGTGCTCTCTTCATCACAGCTGCCTCCTTGCTATGCCCAGACTCGAAAAGTTGTGCAGACTGAGAACATGAAAATAATGTTCATGAAAGGTTATGCTGTGAAACAGTAGACAGTGGGTATCAAAACTGTCAACAGAGCCTCAGAAAAAAAGCTCTCTGTTTAATGAGACCAAAATTGGCCAGATGTTGAGAAACAAAATGGGTAACAGATGGTATGAAGAACAATTTAATATAGAGTTAAATTCGATGATCACAGCAATTTGATATTCACAAATCCTCAAACACCATAATTTATAACTAGCCCACTCATTCTGTTTGCTTTAGGAATAAAGGAAAAATTTCTAAACATATTTTTAAAAACAGAATTGGAAAAAAACAAAACTATGATCTTGTTCTTTAGTCCAATACTCCATATTATAAACTAAGAAACAGGTAAGTGAATTAAAACATTCATTTGATATATGGTGCTCCAAAAGGAAAGACAGGTAGAAATATATGTAGGTCTTTGATTAACATCTAACTTAAAGAATGCCAAACAGAGAAGGGCAAACAGATTTGAGAGCTGTTGGGTTTTAAAATTTTACAGCAAAACTCTGAATAACTTGCATAGCATATTTACTTTAGGGTAAGAACATGTGAATTCCAAAAGCTCACCACTAAAATAATAGATCTTCATTAGACAATGAATTCACATTGTTCACATTGACCGAGTGGTTACTATCAGGCAGGTATTAAATTGGGCATTTGTTCAAATATAAAGAGATGTCAAAATACAACACATGTAAACAATATGGGATCCCCAGTCTTCTTTCTATAAAGGTATATCATATGTTACTGTGACTAGCAGCCATTCAAAGTCCTTGGTCTACAATTCTGTTTAATACACTTTTTCTATTCTTGCGTCACTATTAAGTTGTTCAAATCTTTTTCAATGGGCAGAAAAAAATCCTTCCTAAAGGATCACAGTCTTCAACTTAAAGAGACATTTCTCCCCCACCTATTAAATGTGTAGGAAAATGGTTTTTGCTTTTTCACTTTTAGTTTAAATGGTCAGGTTTGATTAATTCAGCTTGGATTTTGGCCTGTTTTACTGACTGCTGTACCCTCATAGCTAGAACGGGGCCTGGCACATAGTATGTACATTTGTTGAATGAATGAATGAATTATTCCTATGACCTATGGCTCATTACATAAGGATATATCTATAGAGAAGGATAAATATACATAAGAACTTTTTACTTTGACTTCCTAATGCTTTTAAACTTGAAATAAAAGAAATTCCTGATGTTTACATCACTCAGCTGCTGTGAAAAGCAATCTTCCATATATGTAAACAACTGCATGTGCAAGGTGTACAGTTATGCTAAGACTAGGTCATTAGCTTGGTGACAACTTGGGTGTTATCAGCTACCTCACATATTTCTCTAAGTCCCACAGCTCAAAGAGCTAAATTGTAAAATACCACGAAGACTCAATTAAGCCAATATACACATGCTGATAATTCTCCTTTGTAAATTAATGATTTCTCCACCGAAATCATTTATCAAGGCAAGTACCATTCAGAACTAACATTCTAAGAAGAACCAGAAAAACGACAGGTCGTACACAAGTTTTGCTTAGGAAGCTGTGATTGTCACTAAGTTGCCCCGTGAACCTGCTGTCCTTCTCCCCCTCAGAGCAGCGAATTCAGTTTCTATTTAAAGGGACACTGCCTTCTTTTTTTTTTTTTTTTTCCCCAGAAGAAAAAGAAAATTTTGAGTTTGGAAAAAAATCCCTTTTAAAAGGTTCGAAGAAAACTATCAGCTTAGAATGGTCAAAATAATGTTTGCTAAGAAAATGATCATCAGCTCCTGAGTCTGGAGCGGGGTCACAGGGCATGATTAGGGGGTATCGGCTTCAGCCCTCGGTGCCAAGTCTGAGATCCCGCAAGAGAAGTAGAGGGCGGAAGACCGGGCAACGTGGCCACCTGCCCAGTCGGCCGGGGACCGTGGGGCCACCGTCTGCTCCCAAGTTTGTCAGCCTTTCCCCCTAGTGCATATGGTCCACGCGCCTCCCGATTCAGGCCAGCGACTCCCAGGCCAGAGAGGAACTGGGGGGCCAGCGGAGGCCCGGCGGCCCCGGGAGCGGCCCTCGGGGTCCGGCGGCTCGGGCCAGGGGCGCGGGAGGGGAGGGGGCTTGCCGCCCCTCCCCCCGGCGGGTCCAGGGAGCTCCCAACGGCTGCTCGGCAGCTTCCTCCGCCAGCGCCCGCCGCGCCCTCCCCGCCCGGACGGCGGCCCTCGCCACGCCCCGCGCCCCCGGGGCGCACCCCTGCGGGCCGGCCGGAGCCCCCCGGGCCGCGCTCCTCTGGAGAGCCCCCGGCGCGGGCGTGCGGCCTAGTCGGGATTACATAACGGGGCCGGGCCCCTCTGCAGCCGACCGGGGGCCGCGGAGCCCGCGCGGGCGGAGGCGGGGGCGCCCCGCCGCTCACCTGCCGTAGATGCCCTCGGTGATCCGATTCCGCTTTAGGGGGCGGCGGAGCTTACTGCAGTCGGCGTTCCGCCGCTTCATCCTCCCGCTGGGGGGCCGGGTGCCCGCGCCGCCTCCGCCGCCGTCTCTCACCTCAGCCGCCGCCGCCGCCGGCCCGCCCCGCGTCGGGCCTGGACTCTACCCCTGGGGCCGGTCACACAGACATGGAGCCAGCACCCGGGGGGGAGGGGGTGGGACGGGGAGGGGGGGCTCAGAGCCTCCTCCGCCTTCGGAAACAAAGAAATGACAATTCCGGGGCCCACCCGCCCCAGCACCAGCCAGCCGCCTGCCCCGCCTCCTCGGCTCCAACGGACGGCCCCCGAGGCCAATCGAAGGCGTCGCTACGCCGCTGCCGGCCAATCCAAGGGCCAGCTGAGGCAAAACGGACTCGAGAACCCGCCTCCCTGAAGGACTGAAGAATGCGCCAATCATTATAGTGTCTGTGTGCGTGCCTGGGCCTATCAGAAAAGATTTAAATAGAGGCTTATAAATAGGCCCTATAAATATAACATCCTATATTATGCCTTATTGCGAAGGCACACTTCATGACTGTTGGATTGCGTTTCATTGTATTATAATCCATGCTAGAGCATACCGTGCTATATTCATTGCCCGCTATCACTAGCACCGTATGAAATCGGGAGGCCTGGGTTTGCGGCATGTGCTGTTTTCTGCGCTGACATGTGCCCCAGTCAGTCGCGTCATTATGTAAGGGGTTCGCAGCATCCTCCCCCTCCGGGAGCCTCCGGGGTCAGCGCCGGGAGCCCTTTCTGCGGATCCTGGAGCGTTCGGCCAGGCCGGCCGCGTCAGCGCGCGACGGGGGTACGAATGACAAAGCAAACCCCACACACACATACACACACACACACCCTGCCAGCTCCCGGCGACGTGGTGACAGCGCGGCGGCCAATCGGAGGAGGCGCTGGGCGGGGCTGCTACGGTCCTGCCCCCTGGAGGCGCGTCACAGGGGGCGGGGCCGTGGGTGCGCGCGACGTCGCGCTGGGCTGCCGCTGGTGTGTGGGGCGGTGCGACCCTATCTCCACGTCCGCAGGACGGGCTGTGCGGGTGGCTCCGCGGGCACCGCGCCTGCTGGACACGGCAAGCGTCAGCGTCAGGGACGTGTCTGTGCTGTGCGAGGGGTCGATGCCGCGGGGACTAAGGGGAGGCTGCTCGGCGGCGAGGGCCGGGCTTTTCAGATGTTGGGACACCGGGCCAGCGACTCTCACCCGAGCCTCCTAGAGCGCCGCCGATTTTGTGCCAGGCACCGTGCTGAGTGCTTTGCATCTACTTGCTCATTTACTCCTCATTAATCCCTTGCAACGTGGGTATGGCAAAATCACATTAGAAAAGACAGCAAAGATTCTTTTAAAAAGAATGTCATTAAAAAAAAAAAAAGAATGTCATTAATGAAAACTGGGAAGCTGTCAAAAGTAGAGAGGGGGAGAAGAAGGGAGGAGAAGCACCCACGGATCTCATCACCTTAACACGACCACTATTAGCACTCTAAATTTTTTCTTTCTTTCCTATTTTCTCCCATGGGTGATATCATTTTTACTATTACTGCTATTATTACTGAAGAGTTGTGATCATACTAGATATTCAACTCTGTATTCTGTTCTTTTGTGTGTGTGTGTGTGTGAGTAAATTGATAGACGTTTATTAAGTGAAGATACAGAAAAAGCTCTCCAAAGTGAGAGGGGTCCCGACAGGGTTGCCACTGAGGGCCTTTAGGGTTGGTCTTTTTGTATTCTGTTCTTTAATGTAAACATTGTCCCATGTTATTATGCATCCTCCCTAAATATTTCTGATGGCTGCTGAATCTCCTGTCACGTGGCCATACCAACTTAACCACACACCAACAGTGGGACTGTGAAGTGGTCTTCCAGCACATTTTAAAAACTTCCAGGAAGTCGATGGTATCTGGTTTTGTCCTGAGTTGGGTGGACCTCTCCCTGCCCTATAATCACCCCCTTAATCAACACCTACCCCAAGGAGGAACTTGTAATTTGTATCAAAGTCATCATTCTCATCTGCTGTTCTTCCTTATTTTATCCGCTCACAAATCTTTAAAGATCCTCCAATGCCTGAAAACCATTCTCTTTGTTATGGCATCCAGAGCTGTCACACTGGAGACCCACTCTCCTTTTCCAGGCCTACCCAGGCCAGCAAGCCTTATCTACTCACTGTCCTCAAACCCACTGCAACCTTATCTTCCGTCCTTTCTGCCTTTGCTCCCACACAGAGCATCTCCAGCAGTGCTGCTCCTAAGTCTGGTTTCTTGGGTGAGTCTTGTTCATTCACCAATGATGAAAGCTTCTTGGGGGATTGGATCCTTATTCTGAAGAGATGCAGTTTTGAAAAATTGCAAGAGTACCTATCTTTTCAGACCAGGATTGAAATTCCAGCTTGGCCACTTACTAGCTTGGGCAAGTTACAGAATCTTAGAACCTCTGTTTCCACTCAGGTATGTTTTAAGGCTTATAGAATAATGAACTTTCAGGGTCAGGCATGCAGTAGGTAACGGCAAGCAATTACTGTTAATAGTATACTTGTTTTTCATCCCTCACTTCTCTCCAGCATGTTGATAAAGTGGCACTGGGTGGCCAAGGATAACAAACTCCGTGAGCTCAAACTTTCACCAAGGCTGCCCATCATTGTAAAAGGGTCTGAATGGAATGCTCCGCTTGGAGCAGCAGAAAAAGGCTTCGGCTGCCAAGGTGAATTAGTTCGTGGAGGAGGATACAGGCAGGACCTACACCAATATTCTGGAGGCTTGAATGCATTAGGAAGGTTACATGGTAAGATTCTGGCTCTAGACTCCATGAGGCCCCAGATCTAAATATAGCCGTTAACTCCATGACTACAAGGTTCCAGATTACCTGGGCCAGAGACAAACAGCCAACTCAGTAAGGTTATTAACAGGGCCATATCCATGGTCTTTTCCACTCCCCCTTATGTCCCTGTTATCTAGGACAGTGCCATGGCACACTGTGGAACGAATAGGTGAGTAATCCAGGAAAAGATGACAGAGGCGCTGGAGCTCACTGTCTAGCCTACCATCCTGATAAGGACATTCCATGCTGTGGCAGAAGTGTGGAGTGACTGGGAGTTACTCTCAGGCATAAGGCTACATGGGGAAAAGAGAAAGAACAGAGAAAATCTGGGGCACCTGGGTGGCTCAGTTGGTTAAGCGACTGCCTTCGGCTCAGGTCATGATCCTGGAGTCCCGGGATCGAGTCCCACATCGGGCTTCCTGCTCAGCAAGGAGTCTGCTTCTCCCTCTGACCCTCTTCCCTCTCGTGCTTTCTATCTCTCATTCTCTCTCTCTCAAATAAATAAATAAAATCTTTAAAAAAAAATAAAAGAACAGAGAAAATCTGGAGGTCTGGGTTCCAGTCCCAACATCCTGCTGTTGAGTTACCCGCATACATCTGTGCCAAGATCCCCTCTGGAGACTCTTCAAGCCCTGTGTTTAGAAGCAGGTCATTTTAGCTCCATTTTACAGATGGGAAAACTGAGGGTCGGAGAAAATAAAATTATGCAATTGGCTTGGTAGAGCAGTTTAGCTCAAGGAACAGCTGAGTGAGATCAAGCTGTGATGCTATAGGCCAAACCTGGGGCCTAGAGGTGGTTATTGATGATTAGGTTTATCGATCTGGTGATGGGCTGGAGTAGGATGACAGGAATTGTCACCTTGCCAAGAGCCCACAGTAAGACTGCCCTTCTCCATTCCCTCCTTCTGCCCCAGCCAGACCATCTCTTTTCCTGGGCCGCCCTAGCCCAAGCTCCTTTGGGCTCTAGTCAAGTGCCAGCCTTTCCCCTCTGAGCCCTCAGATGGCTCTTTGGGACCCTAAGGGCACAGGCCTGGGCAGAGGTGGGGTAGCCTCCTGCCCGCCACAGAGCCCCCCAGCTCCCCATATCTCCACCATCAGTTAGGAACCAGGGGAGAGCAGTAGCCATTTTACAGATGAGTAAGACAGGGAAGGGAAGTCATCTGTTCGTATTCAAAAGACCAAGGCCCAGCCAAGAATTCAGGGTTGTCCCTCCTCTTCTCGTGGGATGTTCAACGGGCAAGGGGTTGAGATTTGCCCTTGAGCTTCACCTGAGCTCAGAATAGCTCAGAAGAGCCTGGAGAGTGATCATCACATCCTGTTTCACAAATAAGAAAACTGCATCCCCCCCTCTTTGAGTAGCTTCAATCCCCTCAAGCCCTCCAGTCAGGGCTGGCCCAGCTGCCTTGAACTTGGTTCCCATGCCACAGGAGTCACCGAAAAGTCCAGATGTTGGGGTGGCCACCTCTTATGCACGTATTTGTGTCCCCCAGAGAACCCTGTTAACGGAGGATATTCATTGTAATGTTTAGAACAGAAACAGTTGAGAAATAACTCAGATAATCCTGCAAAGGGGGCTGGTCAAACACGGTCACACATTCTTCCCACAGAAGTCGTGTGGCATGGAGAATGGTGACACGCAGCACTTACCACATACAGTCACTGCTCTAAGCACCATATGCACTTTGATCTCAACCTCACAACAACCCTATGAGGTAGAGATGTTACCGGTGCCATATCACAGACGAGAAAACTAGCCCAGAGCAACTCAGTTCTTTGCCTAAGGTCGCACAGAAAGCGTGAATTCAAACTCAGAAACTCTGACATCAGAGCCTGGGTTCTTAGCCATCCTGATAGAATGTTGTAGAAAGATATTCCCGGCTTGGAAATGACTTAGGATATACTATTCACGGAAAAAGCAATCACCCATTTTTGCAGGGGAGAAAACAAGGCCTAAATTCACGTGAATAGGAAAAAAAATCTGAAAAATATACAAAAAGAAGAAGAACTGGTTTTTGGAGATATGGAAATCACGGATGCTTTATGTAAACTTTATGCACGTCTGCATTTTCAGAGTTTTCTACAGTAAATATGCCAACCCTGTGCAATAATAATAATTACTAACATTTATGGAGGATTTTCTACACATCTGACACTTACATGCACTTCCTCATTTACTCTTCATGACCGGGGTTCTCTGGGTGACTCAGTGGGCTAGGTGTCTGATTCTTGATTTCAGCTCAGATCATGATCTCGTGGCTCGTGGGATCAAGCCCCACGTTAGGCTCTGCACCGGCAGGGAGTCTGAAGATACTCTCCCTGTGCCCCTGCCCCCACTTGCATGTACTCTCTCTCTCAAATAAATAAATCTTAAAAAAAAAAATCTTCACAACCACTCTATGAGATTGACACTGATTTTCCCTACTTTACAGATGAGGAAACAGATATTGATCATCATACGCAAGTTCACACAGCCAATAATTTGTGGAGTCAGGATTTGAACCCAGATTGCCTGACTCCCAAGCTCATGTTTGTTGAATGAATAAATGAATGAATGATTGACTTAGCCACAGTTTACCCAGGCATGCCCAGAGCAGGATCACACCCTTGGTATGGACAAACTTCCAGAGAGGGAATGGAGGACTTACCTACGTCCTTGCTCGCTGCCCATGACTGAGCTTTACAATGCCCGATGAGGACAGTATGGTGAGTATTCTCATGGAGTCCTGTTTTTACAGAAAATGCATGATTACATGTGAATTCTGTAGTCTCTCTGACTTGATTCGTCACACCTGGAGGAATCCTGGTCACTTAGATCAGAACGTCACAGGCATGGCACCACTTGCCCACCTTCCTTTCTATAACCCAGCTGCCACTCATGTTTACGTATTCATTCTCACATTTGTAATAATTCTGTGAGGAAAGTAGAGCAGCTCATCTTATTTGACTCATTAAGGAAGTTGAGACTGTGAGTGGTTTACTAAATGGAAGGCAGAAATGCAAAGTAGTTGACAGCATAAGCCGTGGCATCAGAGGGATGTGGGTTGAGTCCCACCCCTAGCATTTATTAGCTGTGTGACGTTGAGTGCTCACATCACCTCTCTGAGTAGCAGCTTCCTCATCTGTAAGATGGGATGACCACGCCTGTACTCACAGGCTTGAGGGGAAAAGTAGATGGAATAATGTACGCAAAATACTTGCTCCAGTGCTTGGCATTCCGGAAATGGCAGTTGTTATTTATTCAACAAATATTTAGGGGTGCCTGCGGGGCTCCGTCGGCTAAGCATCTGCCTTCGGCTCAGGTCATGATCTCATGGGTCCTGGGATCAAGCCCCGCATGGCGTCGGGCTCCCGGCTCAGCGGGGAGTCTGCTTCTCCCTCTCCCTCTGTGCACTTTCTCTCTCTCAAATAAATAAATAAAATCTTTTAAAAAACCAAATATTTATTGATCACCTCTTATGGATGAGCAGTAGGTGCTGAGATACAACAATCAGAAGTCCCTGTGCTTGGCTCTGAGGCGGAGAGGGCAGGGGCAGTTATCTGACAGGAGGAGGCTTTCAGGCAGAGGGAGAAGCAGGTGCACACAGTGCTTTCCCCAACACTTTATTATGAAAAGTTTCTAACAGATGCCAAAGAAGTTGAAAGAATTGTACAGTGAAAAGCCCTTTATCTCCCGCGTAGACTCAACAATGAACATTTAACTATATTTGTTTTGTGACGTATCTGCCCTAGATCCCTGTGCTTTCTTTTTTTTTTTTTTCCTAAAGATTTTATCTGTTTATTTGACAGAGAGAGAGACAGCGAGAGAGGGAACACAAGCAGGGGGAGTGGGAGAGGGAGAAGCAGGCTTCCCGCAGAGCAGGGAGGCCCATGTGGGGCTCGATCCCAGGACCCTGGGACCATGACTTGAGCCGAAGGCAGACGCTTAACGACTGAGCCACCCAGGCGTCCCCCCCCCCCCCCCCCCGCCCCCGTGCTTTCTTGTACCAGATGAGCTGCCTTGATGGTTTGGAGACAGAATGGAGCAGGAGTGCAAAAGGTCCCTGTTTTTGCACTCCTGCTCCGTTCTGAATGAACATTCCCCTTTTGACAAATCTGTTGGGAGAGGCCAAGTGTGGGGGACACCTCCCCTTATTAAAGAGAGCCTGTTTGGCAAGGAGCTTGGCCCTCTTGTCAAGCAGTCCGTCCCTCACTGGAGTAGGAGCAGGCCGCACAGGGGTTTCCGGGGTGTGGAACCAGCTGCCACACACACTAAGTTGGCCCGAGGGTGAACACAACCATCAGGGGGCTCCAGGCACAGGGGCTGGCAGAGACTGAAAATCTTCAGTGTTCATCTGGCTGACCTTTGGTGCCCCTGGGCAGGTGAGTCCAGCTGCCTGGTTTACAAGGTGCTGGTACAGGACCCAGGCCAGCTAGGGTCATGTTTATTTATCCCCCACACAGGGGAGCCCCTCCTTACGGAAACCCAGTTCATAAGAAGTGCTGATGGCCAGAAATCAGAACCAGGGGGTGACCATGAGGGGATGGAGACTTCTATCTCTGATCTCTAGCGGTCAGGGAACCTTCTCTCTATTGCTACTGTTGAGAGGGCAGAGGGCTGGGAATCCTATGTTCCTAGACTCGGAAGAGGACTTAGAAGTCGTCTGGGCCACAGTTGTGTGGTTAAACACCCAGTTGCTCAATCCGGGCTCTGGGTCTGGGTTAAATCCAGGTTCTCCTACTTATTAGTCCTGTCACCTTGGACAAGTCACGTAACCCTTCTGCACCTCGGGTGCCTCATTTGTCATAAAAGGCTAATAGTACCCACCTCCCAGGGTCCTTAACTGAGTTCATACATGTAAAGTGCCTAGAACAGTGCCTAGCAATGGTAAGTGCTTGGTAAGTGTTAGCTCCAGACAGCATCTAAAGCAAAAGGAGCTGGTGTTGGTGGTTTGCAGCCATTTTTACCCTATGCATGCATTAACATATTGGGTTTTTATTATTTTTCACAAGAGTGAACATACTGTATACACTGTACTATAACTTGCTTTTCCACCCAATGGTATATCCTCTGTGTCAATTTTGATAAACTTAAAAGCATTTTCCTCTGGATTTTTCCCACATATATTAAGGACCATGATGTTGGTGGCAAGATGTGTGTCCTGTAGCTTATTTGCCAGTCCCCTACTACTGGACATTTAGGTTACTTTCAATTTTTTTTTTCCTTCTGCAAATAAAGCTGCGCTGAGCAAGAAGTGACTGATGTCAGCTGGCTGTATGACCTTGGGTATGACCTTCCGGTGTGAGTTTCTTCATCTAAAAACAAAATGAAAGGATTCTTCTGGGTGATTAAAATCTCCAGCAAACTACATATTGAATCACTTCCAAGACATCGCTGACAAGTAACCATCAGCTTCTGTTTGCATTCTGCTAGGGACAGGGTGCTCACTACCTCATGAGCAGCCTATTTCACCAGACAACTGTAATGGTCAATAAAGTATCCACCATGCTGGGCCAGAATCTGCCTCCCTGCAACTCCTAGTCTAGTTTTATTATCTGAGGCCCGATAAATTCAGTCTATACCCAGTGGCCAGTGGCTGGGGCCAATCCTTCCCTTCCTTCCTTTCTCCCTCTCTTTCTTTATGCTTATTATAGATCAGACCATCTGCTAGGCACATGGATGGGGCTCCAGAAGTTAGCTGCAGGGTAGGAACTGGAGCCCAGGTGCCCTAAGTCCCATTTCAGGGGACTGCCCCTGCTGTGGGACAGGGGTCCTGAAGCTGGTGGTCTGCCTCAGATACGCTACAAGTACTCATGCTCCAGGCAGAGTCCTGGGTTGCTCTGTAAGGAGGTGACCAGAACTGGAGACAACTACAGCCTAGGGCTGGAGCAGGACCCCACCAGATTTTTACTAGAGCTGGACCCAAGCCTCCTTTCTTTTCCCCCACCTTAAATCTGTAGATTTAAGTACAGATTCAAATATAAATAATTTCAACAATGTAACTCTGAAGAGTTAGTTCCCCAGGGGCTTTGTCTGGATCTTTCTCAGGGCTTAGTGTTGTTCTTTGCTTTCATTCATTCATTCATTCGTTCGTTCGTTCTCATTCGATACATTCTTATTAAGAGCTCACTGGTAAGGTCTTAAAGAGAAATTTTGCCAATCCAAAGCCCCCTCTGAGACTCCATTTCCCCATTTGTAAAATAGGAGTGCTGATCCATTCTCTGCCTTGCAAGGATATGGGGAGGGTAAACTGAAGTCATGAGCAAAGGAGGGTTCTTATGTGTGGGTGCCCAGTGAACGGATGCCCTCTTTGAAACTGCGCACAGTGCCCGTCCTAGAGTAGGAATGCAGCAACTACTTGTTGAATGAACGAATAAGTGAGGGACTGAATGAATGACTTAGTGTTGGAATAAATGCATCTCTTCTGCTCCCTGTCACAGTCCTTCTGCTCCTATGTTAACTCCATCAACAGGCCAGCAAAACCAGCCTGCAGCCAGAGATAAGGCTTTTGGCGGGTGTCTCCCCTATCACTCCCTGGAGTGGGGGTGGGGGCAGAGGGGTGGGGGCAGAGGGTTGATGCCTGGAGCTGGATGCCGCACGGACACAGACAAGGACACAGGATGGGCTCCAAGTACCCACCATCTATGCGGGGCTGCCTGCCCCTGTGGACCCTAGTGCTGGAGGTGGCTCTCATTGTCATCTTCTTCTTTTTCACCTCCTCTGACACTTCCTCACAGGATCCGAAGAAGCTCATGGCGAACTTTCGAGGTGAGTGTCCAGGGGGTGGGGGTGGGGGGGTGGTCACGGAGGCAAGTAGCAGGAACAAGGGAAGAGGAGGTCTGTGGTCCTCCAGGGGCTGACATGTTCCTTTCCACAAAGTCTCTGAGTAAATGGGTTCCCACACCTTCTCCCATAGGTTGCGCAGAGACCCAGACAACAATGTAGGCTCCCCCTTTAGGACCAACATGGACATCTCCTCCTCCATGAAGCCTTCCTTGATTTGTCAGGGCAGTGAGGGGCCTCCTATTCTGTATTTCTAGAATTTCCTTTGCCAAATGGTCTTCATAAGTCTCTGCTTCTCTGTCCCTTCCCCCTCTTTCTCCTGAACAGCAAGGAATTTCACGTTGTTTGGCTTTTAGTTTTTATTTCCTTTTTTTTTTTTTTTTTTGGTCTCTCTTGCTCACTTCTGTACCACCCTCCTTTTGGTAGCTTGAGTCTGTTGCCCCTCCCCCACCCCCAGCCTTCTCCTTCTCACTCATTGGCTGGGAAGTCTACATTCTGTCTGCAAATCCAGAGCCATAAGGTATGGCTGAAGAGGAGTGTAGGATGGTTGTGATTTTATATGCAGCTAAAAATATTCACAGACTGTGATGAGAACAACTGTAAACAAGACAGATGTCCACAGTGGTGTGGCTTTTGCTTTTTTTAAAAAAAAATTGAGATGAGTTTCAAGCATCTCATTGGGCCGATATCTTATCTATGATAATGGATGGGCCACCTTGAGTGTCCTCCCTGAGACAAAGCTGAAGCTCTAGTCTGGTTGAGTGCCTGCTTCTTCCTCAGTGATACTAACTGACTAGTTAGCTGCGAGCAAAGGAAAAGCATCACTGGGCCCTCATCAGCAGTAAGTAGGACAAAGAAATGACTTGGGGAGGGAAGGCTCTACACCACTTCAGGGGCTGGTCCAGAGAGGGGCCCTTAGCGCCTGACGAGCAAGGCCTAGACAAATTTAGGTTCATTTCAGTTTACTTTAATTCTTTTCAGTCCAATACAATGGAATTCAATGCATGCATTCATTCGCGCATGTATTCATTCAACCCTGTATTACATCCAGTGGGGGATCTAGACACGTGCTAATCAGAGCTAATATTTATTTTCTCTTCCTATGTACCAGGCACTATTTAAATGCTTCATATTGAACCCTCACAACAATCTCATGAGTTGGTATGATTATGATCTCTGTTTCTCCTATAAGGAAATGAGGCAATTGGACGTTGAATAATTTGCACAAAGTCACTCAACCAGTGATAACCCAGCAAATTTAAACTTGTGCAGCCTGGTTTTAGTTTCCATGCACGTAACCACTATGCTTCACTGCCCTGTTTTACGGTGAACTTGAGTCACCTGTCATATAACCAGTGGGTGTAGGGGCCAGTATTTCAACTCTGTATGTTGGCGCCAGGGTCCACATTTTTTACCCCTCTGCTATGCTGGTAACACAGAAATGAAGTGCCCTCAGACACTCACTTTACATGGAAGCACAGAGGAGGGCCCATCAGGCAAGGGAGTTGGTGGTGTCAGGGAAGGCTTCTGGAAGGAAGTGACTGACCAGCCACATCCTGGAGGCTCGGTAGGAGTTAACCATGTGAAAATGGATCATCAGCCAGAGTGAGAGGACAGCAAGAGCTGGTGTGTGCACTCACTGGAGTGGACCAGGTTAGGGTTTAACATCGCAACATCGGAGCCCAAAGAAGGCAGTAGGGCATGGTGGACCCACTGGGTTGAGTAAGGAGCTTGACCTTCACGCAGCTGAGCTGATAGGAAGCAGGGGTGTGGTGAGTTTGGGTTCAGGTTGTGGAGAAAGCCATTCCAGGGCTAGTGGAGGGGTAGGGGAAAGGGCCATGACTTGAGGTGGGAGACCAGTGTGTGGGGCTTGTGTGTAGTATGGACCAGAGGGCTTTAAACGCTTCTGATCACACACACCATTTTTTAAGCACGTACCATACTTACATGTCATCATCAAGTACTGCTGCGTGAATATATTTTGTACATTATAATAATACACACAAATTAGGAAATCTGAAAGAGGTCAAATGAAATACATAATATTTTCAAATTACTGATTGTGATGGTGCCAATCAATCTCAAGGCAAGGTCCATTGTTTCCATTACTGAGAGTGGATGTAAATCCATTCCTAGAGTCTTCTTGATAACTTCAAATTCTCCTGGTTGACTTCCTGTGAGATCTAATTAGACTGACTTTTTTAAAACCTTGAATGTGACAGATGAAGAGTTTACACAAGAAATAGCACTCTGCCCTTTTTTTTCTTACGCTTGGCTGCCATTATGGTTCTGCCTTCATTCTGTGGTTTTAGGCAGGCATTGTTCAAGCCATTAGTCCATTTTGTAAAGGTTAGTTGAGCTAAAACTAGGTTACCTTATCAGTCAATTCACTTAATCTAATCGAGTCCATGTGAACTCAATGTTATTCAAACCAGCCAAGTCCAAAAAGACATTTTTGAGGCAATCAGCATGAATCCTATAGGACATACAGGAATTGTTGTTTGTTTTGTTAAGTCTGATAATAGTATGGTGGGTTTTTTTTTTTTTAAGGCCCTATCTGCTAGAGAGGTATATTGAAATGAAGCAATGTCCAGGACTTGCTTAATGCCAGACCAAAAAAAAAAAAAAACCCAAAAAAAACCAAAAAAGGAAACAAGTGGAAAGGATAATAAAAACCAGATCAGCCCCGTGTGGGACAGTCATCAAAGCTGGGAATGGGGACATGACATTCACCATGCAACTCTCTGTTTTTGTATATGCTTAATGTTTTCCATAATAAAGAATTAAATTTAAAACGAAAAGCAAAAAAAAAAAACAAAAAAAACCCAAAACCCTGCCATTCACTGCAACATGATGAATACGGAGAAACACGTCCCCCTCTTCCCAGTGGCCCAATATTCCCTCAGGACTCCTTCCAAAGCTAGGAGCCTAGAAACTGTCTGACATCCTGAGCAAGCAGAGGAGGCTCCTGGGTCAATGTGGATCTTAAGTACTTGCAGAGCTGCAAACTTCACCAAGGCCCTTTGGAGGTAGGATAGCCTAGATCAGTGGTTCTCAAAGTGTGGTCCCCAGGCTACCACCTCAGCCACTAACAGCTCAGGAATGTGTTAGAAATGCAGATTCCCGGGCCCGGATCCATACCCACCGATCAGAAATATTCAGGGTGGGGTTTAGCAAACTGTGTTTTACCAAGCCCTCTAAGTGACTCTTATGCACATGAGAGTTTGAGAAGCATTCGAGGCAGACTGATTCAAACCCTGCCTCTGCCCCTTCTTAGCTGCGAGAACTTGGGCAAATTATTCCGCCTCTCTTGCCCTCCATTTCAACCATGTCACATGACATGGGTCACATGACAACAGTCACATGGACAATAGTACTTTTTCAATTTGTTGTTGGAAGGTTTGAAAGAACGAATACATATACAGACTGATTAAGAGTATTCACTTTCATTATTAATAAACTTCAATTTCTTATATTTTTACAAAATCAAATAAAACTAGAAGGGCTCATATCTTCTTCCAGCAGCCCCTGTAGATTGTCTGGAGCATCTTCTGAGGTGTGTGTTCCCTACGCCGATGACCACTGGTCCCACAGCCAGTGATGAGGCCATATGGGCAGGGAGAGCAAAGGAGACGCAAAGTGTCAAAATATTGAAGAGACAGCTAGGAGATCAAACGAGCTGTACCTGGTGGA